TGTTCATTAACTAAATAACATTTCTAACCTCGTATGACTGAATATAGAAAATATGTATAAATGAAAAATGCAAGAATATATAATTTTGATAAATCTTATACTCTCTTAGCGAATGAGGTGTGGCTGGACACGTGGGCAAGCGCGACTTTCACTTCCCCGAACTACCCGTCTAAGTATGATGTTGGAGACAGCTATGTTTTCTGCGTAAGTATTGAATTCCTCCACATCTATTTTATTTGAAGGTAATATATTTTGTAAAGATAATCTTTCTCATTCTTTTTCTTTCTGAAATGAAAGTAAATAAACTAATCACTTAATTGTAATAATTCTATTTATTGTACTTACAATTATTTAATATTGCTAGTGCCTGTTGAAAATGATAGTAATAATAATAATGATGGATGGAGAATGATAATAATTCAGTTGTAGTAATGATAGTACTGATGATAATAATGATAATAATATCAATAACATTGATGATAATGATAATAATGATAATGAAGATCAGAAGAAAAAAACAATAAGTATAAAAATATGAAATGAAATTGATATTGATAACAATGGCATATATCACAACAATAGAAATAAACATAATATGACTTAAGTTCGCATGTAAATATTACCAAAAAGTACGTACACTTCGGTATAGTCTCATTTGCCTCACCCTGATCAACCAGGCCGTTGACCCCGACGACCGAATAAGGATCAAATGCGAAGACTTTGAGGTTGGTTGGTGGTTCTTACACTGCATTGATGACGTCCTTAACATCGCTTTTGCTTCTCCTGAAACGTAAGTATGCAGGGGAAGAGGTTCTTCGTTAAATGAGTAGGGGCAGATGAGAGGTTTCTAATGGTCCATTTACATATATAGCGATCTTGAATAGTATGCAGAATCTCCATATTACAATTCATCTCTTGTGTTCAAAATACCAATAATTAGTTTTATTTCATACTTTAGAACTTTCACGAAACGTTTAGACACAAAACATTACGCACGAGTTTTACTATGAATGAATAATACTGCCATTCAATTTTATTCAATTTCGAATATGTCTAATGTAAAGAAGCGGTTTCTTGCATGTGAGTGAACGTGGATACTGTTTGTCAAATAGGATTATAGCACAATTTCACCAGGGTTCTTCGTAATGCAGTGTCTTTTTCTGTCCCTATATGTACTCCTGGTAAACTTATATATTTTGAAAAGTATCCCTATATCTGAAACGGCTCATCTAAAGCATCTGAAGTGTTTATAACACCACCATCGTAAGAAATAATTACATCAAAATCAATATCACAGAGAGATACCATAATAAAATACATTCTAAACTGAAGATTCATTGTGGCAGAGAGAAGAAGACAAGAACAAAGTCTATCAATACATTTACCAGCATTCCTCAAGAGCCTCGTAATTGGAATTGCTAAAAAAAAAAAAAAAAAAAAATCATATATCCTCTACAGCCTTTCCAACGGGGATGATTTGTTTGAATATAAAATGTTCTTACTCTAATCCTTCTCACAGATACTGTGGGATTACGGGACCACAAGGGGTGGTAACAACAGAACGAGGAACCATCGTCGACTTTTCGGTCGAGACATCGTCTATTTACAGAGGATTTAACTGCACGGCGACAGCTATTGACCTTACAACAGCTTCGGATGGTACAACCACACCAGGTACAATAACCACATCCACGACTGATATCACAACCACGGGAGCTACTACAACTAATGCTGGAACGACCCAAGATCCTTCAACGACTCAGCTAACAACAGCTCTGCCAAACAATATGTGCAGTGATGTCAATAGCCCGGCAGGTAATTCTTAGACTATGAAAATAAACCATGGTGTGTTTATATATATGTGTATGTGTGTGTGTGTTACATTCGGCAGTATATTATTCCTACAGCAATTGTCGTGAATTTTATCATCAGAGAACGAGGTTTGGCTGGACACGTGGGACAGCGCGACCTTCACGTCCCCGAACTACCCCTCGGAATATGGTGCTGGAGACAGCACGTACTGGGTTTTCTGCGTGAGTTTTAATTATTTCACATTTACCTTTTATCCAATCTCTCTTTCTCTCTTTCTTTTTTCTCTTTCAATATCTCTTTCTCAATATCTTCTTTCTGAAGAATTCGATAAATTTTTTTTTTTTAATAGAACTGTACTCACTAAGATTTAATACATATAATGAAAGTAAACACAGTCACAATGGCGATGAAGATGATAAAGATATTTATGATAATAATAATAATATTAATAATGATAATAAAGATAATAATAAAAATAGCGATATTTATGATAAAAATAATGATAATAGTAATAATGATAATAATGAGAATAATAATAATAATGGTAATGAAAATAATAATAATAATAATAATAATAACAGCAAGATGATGAATTAAAGTAAAAAGATAAATAACCACTATAAGGATAATAAGACTGGTGAATAGTAAAGTGATGACAGCATTACTGGTAGTGGTAAGAAAATTATAACAAGTATAAACATTTGTAATTTATAGAGAAAAAAAGTTACAAATAGTTTCATACACAAAGGAGGCTGAATGCAAATAAAATAAACCAAGAAAATGTGTCCATATATCAATACCGCCATAGTCATATAACTCTGTTCAACCAGGCCACTGACCCAGACGACAGAATACTGATTCACTGCCCCGACTTCAGTGTTGGTTTGTGGTTTATTGACTGCTTAGGGGACTTCCTTAGCATCACCTTTGCCTCTCCCGGAAAGTAAGTAAGAGCTCTCTACATCAAAAAATACCGATATTCAATATTATTGTACAGCTTGTTCTGGAGAGAAATGGGTTTCTCCCTTTACAAATAAGCTTTTCCATTTATTGTTTTTCCAAAGACACTGCGGTACGTTTGGTCCTACGAATGTGCTGACAACAGAGCGAGGGACAAATGTCAGCCTTAGCGTCACGGAGCTCTTTCACTTCACCGGGTTTACCTGTACAGCAAAGGCTGTAAACACTGATTCATCAACCGCTGCCGGAACGACAACCGCCGCTGGAACAACAGTCGCTCCTGCAACAAGAATCGCTCCTGGAAAGACAACCGCTGCTGGAACGACAACCAATGCTGGAACCACAACCTCCGCTGGAACGACAACATCTGCTGGAACCACAACCGCTGCTGGAACCACAACCTCCGCTGGAACGACAACCGATGTTGGAACGACAACCGATGTTGGAACGACAACCGATGCTGGAACGACCACCGATGATGGAACCACAACCGATGCTGGAACCACAACCGATGCTGGAACGACAACCGATGCTGGAACCACAACCTCCGCTGGAACGACAACCGATGCTGGAACGACAACCTCCGCTGGAACCACAACCGATGCTGGAACCACAACATCCGCTGGAACGACAACCTCCGCTGGAACCACAACCGATGCTGGAACCACAACTGATGCTGGAACCACAACCGATGCTGGAACCACAACCGATGCTGGAACCACAACCTCCGCTGGAACGACAACCGATGCTGGAACCACAACCGATGCTGGAACGACAACTGATGCTGGAACCACAACCGATGCTGGAACCACAACCTCCGCTGGAACGACAACTGATGCTGGAACCACAACCTCCGCTGGAACCACAACCGATGCTGGAACCACAACCTCCGCTGGAACGACAACCGATGCTGGAACCACAAGCGATGCTGGAACGACAACCGATGCTGGAACCACAACCGATGCTGGAACCACAACCTCCGCTGGAACCACAACCGATGCTGGAACGACAACCGATGCTGGAACCACAACCTCCGCTGGAACGACAACCTCCGCTGGAACGACAACCGATGCTGGAACGACAACCTCCGCTGGAACGACAACCGATGCTGGAACGACAACCTCCGCTGGAACGACAACCGATGCTGGAACCACAACAGATGCTGGAACCACAACCTCCGCTGGAACGACAACCAATGCTGGAACGACCACCGCCGCTGGAACGACAACTGATGATGGAACGACAACTGATGCTGAAACGACCACCGCCGCTGGAACGACAATCTCCGCTGGAACGACAACCGCCGTTGGAACGACCACCGCCGCTGGAACGACAACCGATGCTGGAACGACAACCTCCGCTGGAACGACAACCGATGCTGGAACCACAACCTCCGCTGGAACCACAACCAATGCTGGAACCACAACCGATGCTGGAATGACAACCTCCGCTGGAACCACAACCTCCGCTGGAACGACCACCGATGCTGAACGACAAGCGATGCTGGAACCACAACCGATGCTGGAACCACAACCTCCGCTGGAACCACAACCGATGCTGGAACCACAACCTCCGCTGGAACGACAACCGATGCTGGAACGACAACCTCCGCTGGAACGACAACCGATGCTGGAACGACTACCGCCGTTGGAACGACAACCAATGCTGGAACGACAACTGATGCTGGAACCACAACCGATGCTGGAACGACAACCTCCGCTGGAACGACCACCGCCGCTGGAACGACAACCTCCACTGGAACGACAACCGATGCTGGAACCACAACCGATGCTGGAACCACAACCTCCGCTGGAACAACCACCGCCGCTGGAACGACAACCGATGCTGGAACGACAACTGATGCTGGAACCACAACCGATGCTGGAACGACAACCTCCGCTGGAACGACCACCGCCGCTGGAACGACAACCTCCGCTGGAACGACAACCGATGCTGGAACGACAACCGATGCTGGAACCACAACCTCCGCTGGAACGACCACCGCCGCTGGAACGACAACCTCCGCTGGAACGACAACCGATGCTGGAACGACAACCAATGCTGGAACGACAACCACCGCTGGAACCACAACCTCCGCTGGAACGACAACCGATGCTGGAACGACAACTGATGCTGGAACCACAACCGATGCTGGAACGACAACCGATGCTGGAACCACAACCGATGCTGGAACGACAACTGATGTTGGAACCACAACCGATGCTGGAATGACAACCTCCGCTGGAACGACAACCGATGCTGGAACGACCACCGATGCTGGAACGACCACCGATGATGGAACGACCACCGCCGCTGGAACCACAACCGATGCTGGAACCACAACCGATGCTGGAACCACAACCGATGCTGGAACCACAACCGATGCTGGAACCACAACCTCCGCTGGAACGACAACCGATGCTGGAACGACAACCTCCGCTGGAACCACAACCGATGCTGGAACCACAACCTCCGCTGGAACGACAACCAATGCTGGAACCACAACCTCCGCTGGAACCACAACTTCCGCTGGAACCACAACCGATGCTGGAACCACAACCTCCGCTGGAACGACAAATGATGCTGGAACCACAACCTCCGCTGGAACGACAACCGATGCTGGAACGACCACCGCCGCTGGAACGACAACCTCCGCTGGAACGACAACTGATGCTGGAACCACAACCTCCGCTGGAACGACCACCGTCGCTGGAACGACAGCCTCCGCTGGAACAACAACCGATGCTGGAACCACAACCGATGCTGGAACCACAACCGATGTTGGAACCACAACCTCCGCTGGAACGACAACCGATGCTGGAACGACAACCGATGATGGAACCACAACCGATGCTGGAACGACAACCGATGCTGGAACGACGACCTCCGCTGGAACCACAACCTCCGGTGGAACGACAACCGATGCTGGATCCACAACCTCCACTGGAACGACCACCGCCGCTGGAACGACAACCTCCGCTGGAACGACAACTGATGCTGGAACCACAACCGCTGCTGGAACCACAACCTCTGCTGGAACCACAACCGCTGCTGGAACCACAACCTCTGCTGGAACCACAACTTCCGCTGGAACTACAACCGCTGCTGGAACCACAACCGCGGGAGGAACTACAACCGCTGCTGGAACCACAACCGAAGCTGGAACCACAACCGCTGCTGGAACGACAACCGATGCTGGAACCACAACCGATGCTGGAACGACAACCGATGCTGGAACCACAACCTCCGCTGGAACCACAACCTCCGCTGGAACGACCACCGCCGCTGGAACGACAACCGCCGCTGGAACGACAACCGCCGCTGGAACGACAACCGATGCTGGAACCACAACCTCCGCTGGAACGACAACCGATGCTGGAACGACAACCGCCGCTGGAACGACCACCGCCGCTGGAACGACAACCTCCGCTGGAACGACAACCGCCGCTGGAACGACAACCTCCGCTGGAACGACCACCGATGCTGGAACGACAACCTCCGCTGGAACGACCACCGATGCTGGAACGACAACCGCCGCTGGAACGACAACCGATGCTGGAACGACAACCGCCGCTGGAACGACAACCTCCGCTGGAACGACAACCGATGCTGGAACGACAACCGATGCTGAAACGACAACCGATGCTGGAACCACAACCTCCGCTGGAACGACAACCGCCGCTGGAACGACAACCGCCGCTGGAACGACAACTGATGCTGGAACGACAACCTCCGCTGGAACGACAACCGATGCTGGAACGACTACCGCCGCTGGAACGACAACCAATGCTGGAACGACAACTGATGCTGGAACCACAACCGATGCTGGAACGACAACCTCCGCTGGAACGACAACCGATGCTGGAACGACAACCTCCGCTGGAACGACCACCGATGCTGGAACGACCACCGCCATGGGCAAAAAGCCTATTGTCACTAAACCTGCGATACTTAGTACGTTGGGTATTATTGTACCAAATAGAGGTTGA